TATAACCCATAAAAGGCTGGGAGTAACTGTGGCCAAAGTTCCCCAGGCTTCCCAAGTTTAGTACAAACTTCACCTAAAATAACAAATCACAAAGATGGAAGAGCAACAATAGGCTGAGAAGAACCCTTGAAAGATAGAATGGTGACCACAAATCACATAGCTCTTGAATATCAAAATGAAAAGCAAGCCTTTAACAATCAAATTAACAAGTCCTTGGTACGAAGCCCTATTCTCATGGGAATATTTAAGACACCATATATGAGCAGCTTAAGAAGGATTTATAAGCCCCATAACTATGGACAGCATCACCAGGTTCAAGATCCCTACACTAGTCATGACTATTAGTCATGCTTAGTAGAGCTAAGCTAGACTATTAGTCTATTAGTAGAGCTTGCTAGTAGAAAACACTGGGGAACAATACCACAGGGAGCCTCTCTAGTCTCTTCTGAGATAGAATAATATTGACATGAACACTCCCATTTCTGACTTGCCACCACTCACTAATTCCATATGGATGAGGAATCCCTCATCTAATCTGTGACTCTTGAAAAAACTCTGACACCTCTAAGAATATGTCAAACAGGTAGGGCTGTATCCTGGATACAGGACAGGCTTGCCATGGGTCTCTTCATGGGTCACCTATACTCAAGCCAATGGTCTGTCTCAGCCCATGAACCAAACAAGCCAAATGAATGACACTTGTACCAGAAAAACACAATTAGATCTGTTTCCTCTTTGTGTGCCAGCCTCCTAGATAGCTCATGAAGGGGTGGGTCAGTATCATGAAGAGCACACATCTGAAAGCAGAGGCAAAAGACTGAGTGGCATTAGTTCCAGCTATTGTTCTGCCTGGAGTCCCTTCTTAGGTAGACAATGTTCATGAGGATCACTGTGAACATTGACTTTATGAAATAAATCTAGTCTATCACATAGAACTATCCTTTACTTTAAAGAATTGGTAGCAACTCCATTAAGCTTTTGACATAACTAAAGACAAGAAAAGATATTTTTTATGGAGCCCTTCATTCAAACATATATTGACTCATTCATCATGCATTTCAACAGTATTTACTCTATACTATGTGATTTTGCCCACACTGAAAATATGGTCTCACTGGGAAAAGAAAAGCAGTTTAATAAAACGGCAGTGCCCTTCCCCTTTGCAGGTATCTTTTTCCACATCTTCTTTGTCTTTGCTCCTGCTCCTCACTTCACAGACAGTAACTCCACTTGGCCCCTGAATTTACTTCCCTGATCACAAGCAATGAATGATCTCTAAGTTAGCACACTGTGTCTTCTGACATAATACAACTCTAAAGTGTAAATAATCTCTCAGAAATTTAGTTATGCCGGTCCAATCATTTTCAAAACATGGCCGCCTCCAGTAAAAACAATGAAATGTTTTTCCCAGGAAGTAAAAAGGCAACTGTGATTTGCTGAAGGGAGCCTGCATAATCGACTAGAACAGGTGGGACGACTTTGCCTCTCCTCCTAAGGATCTGTGCCCCCGCTGAGGTCTTCCTTCCTGCCTGCTTTTGATAGATGTTTGGGATTAAACAGGTAATCTGGGAATGATTCCCCTGGAACAAAAGGTCAAAATTTACTGACACAAATCATTTTATTGGACTATGGATAGAATATCCCCTATTTAAGAAAGAAAGAAACAGAAAGATGCCCAGAAAGGAGTAGGAAGAGAAGAAGTAGGAAGGGGGGCAGACACAGTGGGCTATACTTTCTCCATCGCTCACAACAATGAAACAATAGTCTCTAAGTACATTTTCTATCCTATTCTTTTAACTCATAAAATTATTTTCTTTACCTTCTACAATGTTCCATAACCAAACCAACCAAATAATTTGTGCCTTATCCTTGAGACACACCATATTAAATATCACATTTGATCACTAACTTACATTTCATAAATAATTTATTTCAAGAGCATTCCTCCATAAGACTCTCCATTGCTGAGGTGTTTGGTTTTCAGGGAAAGCATTTATTTACAGCCTGAGCCAAAGAAGGCTGGTAAAGACTTGGCTAAAAGCTCTGCATGGAGAAAATTATGGTAATTGTATTAATGCTCAAATACACAGCACTCGATTCTCAAATCTGCTAAAAGGTTTTGTGCTATGTTGCCCACATCTTGACGGGCAATGAGGCCACGAGAAGTGCTTAATTCTTGACGGAACACTTCCGAGACTCATCTTTCATAGTTCCAAGAACTACTAAAGAATCGGAGGAAGCTTCCAGAGGAGTTTCTAAAATCAAACTCCCTCCTGAAAGTCTTATGCTTTGTGTTCACACTGAAGCTTCAAGCTCAACTAACAAGAAAGGGAAATCAAAAGAAACATCATACAATTAATTCTGATAAATGGTTGTGTTTTAATTTGTGTCCAGCAAATCATAGTTCATAATATGTCTCCTTCTGACATCTATTAAAAATCCATTAACTTAACAGGCAAAAATCTAATAAAGTTAGTCTGGAAAATGTCTGCTAGGTCAACATTATGGACTTTTAATGAATATTTTTTTGTAACTTGCTCTACTAGAAGAATTAACATACTAATTGAACGTGTCTCATGTACAATATTAAGAAAAAAGTAAATGTCAACATAATAAAAAAGAAGAGTTTAAGGTAGAACCATGTCACCTTAGATGCTAACAAAACCAATAATTTTAATTTTAGAGCTTTGAAAAGCTGGAGGCACTAAGCTCCTAATATCAGCCATCTCAGCTTAGCCCTTACCAGTCACATCACACAGTAATTCTAATACAACAGTACGTGTTCTCAGGCTAGGATGGGATAGGCAAGGGTAAACAGTGAAATGCTATGTGAACAAGTCTAGTAAGGAATCAAGCCATGTAAAGAGCTCATCAATCTATTCTGTGTTTAATTTACCATGGGAACTTTCACCAATAAACTAACTTTTTAAAGAAAACCGGTAATACTGATTTTCAAAATGGCTTAAGTAACTAAAAAGTAAAAACCTGTGTTACAGTACAATGTAGTGATACTGACTAACTTGGAGATTCTCTTCCTGCTTAGAGGCTTCTTCTAACCTCTGCTTCTCACCTATAATCAAGCTGACTTCTGTGAAACAAGGCCTGTGGGATATAGAGGAGGAGGATTAGGATCACTGTCTCCCACAGGCACTCTCCTCAGACAGACTCTACCTTATCCCCATGGACCTGGTATGGATGCTTGTCCCAGTCTAGTTAAAGTTGGCTTTGAGTGAGTGCTGAATATTCTAGTGCTAACTCCATCAGAGGCCAGTAGTAAAACTACATCAGCACTCTCAGTCTAGAATGTTCCAAAGAAACAAGAAACATGCTGACACAAACTGTAAACCTTGAAAGTAGTTTAAGAAACCTAACCTTGCTTCCTCTCTGTAAAATAGGAATATGAAATTAATAGTTTTATGAGAACAGTGTATTTAAATCACCTAACTGGAGACCTAGAAGTCAGTTGAGCTTTTTACTCTCTTGGCTCATTGCAAGCACTGAGCCTTTTCTCCTGGCTCAGATCTTCAGATGGCTTTGACTGAGACACAGATGTCCCAGCAGTATTCTGCACACTGTTCTGGCTTTGCTTCTTTGTCTAGTGGAGACGGAGCAGATCATGGATTGCACATCACAACTGGCAGTGCAAGTGCTCACCTGCATTCTGTATGTTTGTTTCTAATATACTTCAGCTTTTCATAGCACAATCATGAAGAACCACCAGAGAAAAGTCTGCAATAATTGACTATGGAAGTCAGAAGTTTCACCAAATGCCACTTGCTGTTTACCAATTTATAAGCATAATTCTTACATTTCAGTAGGAACCTAGATGGGCACATGACCTCCCAGCCAATAAATATTACATTTTCTAATCAGTTTGATAGCATAATGGGGTCTGCTGAATGTGTGCTGGTCAATAAGAGGTAATCAGAAGTGAGGTTATACTGCCTCCAAAAGAATGTGCATCATAATTCTTAGGTTGTTTTATTTTTAAAAGAGTTATTTAAGTTATATATATACTGTCTTCATGCACACCAGAAGAGGGCATCAGATACCATTATAGAAGGTTGTAAGCCACCATGTGGTTGCTGGGAATTGAACTCAGGATGTCTAGGGAGAGCAGTCAGTGCTCTTAACCACTGAGCCATCTCTCCAGCCGACCCCCATTCCTCTTAGGATGTTTTATTCTTCCATTTTAGTAGCCGGGAACTTATGAGAGCTCAAATAAATTGCACTAATAGCCACTTGCTTCTTTTGTCTTCCATTAGAGAGGAATGAGGTATCTTTCATTATCCAGTACCCTTCTAGATCTTGTCACAATGCTATAGCTAGCATATTAAATCAATTAAGAGGGACTTCTATTCAAGCATCTGTGACCACTTACCTAACTAGCGATTGCTTTCCAGAATATTAAGTAGTAACTATATGAAATAAACATCATCGTGTGAAATGACCATATAAACATTAAAGGTTAATGTGTCATAATTATACTTACCAGATACTGAAACTTTCATGAGCTAAATACTTACCAGCCACTCAGATACGTGTCATCTAGTTAAAGCCACATAAGATTGGGAGTCTGTGGCTCAGCAAGCATTGGCTTACATCCTACCTTCTGTCTCGTTTTTGATTCTCCTAGTCCAGACTTTTCAAGTTTACTTTCTTATTTTTCTTTTGTGTTTTTTCCTTGAACCAAATTCATGAGACCATTTTCCTACTTCTGGAATGATCTCATGTGCCTCCCTGATGATGCCATCTCTGACTGCTCCATGCATGACCATCCTGAGTCAGCACCATGACAAACACTATTTTAAGACATATCTTCACAAAATCTATTTCTACCCAATTCAAACAAACTATCCATTACAGCTGACATATTCTGAAAACCCTAGTCTTGAAAGAAATTGTTTGAGTTTCGATAATGTAATTCAACAAAAAATCACAAATATCCATATATATATGCATGCATCAAGGATTGTACTTTGGATTTTCTATTATTTTACCTATTTTGCTGTAATTATCATCAGTGAGATCTTCCAAACCAATCATCTTCCAGAAGCTGTCATCCCAACCTTTCTCTGCTGAATATGTCCATTTGCACACCAAGGAGCAGAGAGACCTAGAAAAATTGGAGAGAGCCAGTGTGAGCCAGCTTCCTTCATATTTTGACAAATCACTGCCCTGATGTCTTCAGTAGTGTGATGGCACAGAGGAAACAGTAATTATGCGTTCTGCCTTAGATAACAGGCCCTACATATACCTGGAAATGAATGATACCTCTCTTTGCTTTCAGAACAGACTTGGTTTCTACATGGTTTCTGACCAAACAAACAGAGTAAGCGCACTTACTTGCACTTACATCTACATTTATTTGACACAGGTGGGATAATTATGCATTATAATACTAATTGGCTATCAGATAAAACTGAGTAAACTCAAGTTTAAATGTAACATTGAAGTGGCTATATTACAACTGTTCTTTATCATTAGGATTTACATATCAAATATTCATGCATATGACGTGGCATTTGGGGCTTGTATCAACATGACACAAGAAGGGGAAGTGAATGGTGCTGGGGTAGATGTCCTGTCCTGGGCCGCTGGCCACTGGAGCAGAAACGACGTTACAGGACTCTCAATGTCATCTACTTTTGTACATCTTCTAAGTTCTCTATTATAAAAATATTTCTTTTAAATGTCTGCTATTAAGTAAATAATATGGCACTGTAATCAAAATCAATACTTTAATACTGGAAGATGTTTTCTTTTCAGCTTTCCTTTCCTTTCACAATGTCACCCGTAATATCCTGTCATTTTTCTTTAAAAATAACCTTGCATGGGGCTAGAGAGATGGCTCAGTGGTTAAGAGCACTAACTGCTCTTTCAAAGGTCCTGTGTTCAATTCCCAGCAATCACATGGTGACTCACAACCATCTGTAATAGGATCTGATGCCCTCTTCTGAAGACAGCTATGTCTGAAGACAGCTACAGTGGACTCATATAGATAAAATAAATCTTTAAAAAAAATAACCTTACGTTTATGAAAGACGCATGTTCTTGTATACTTTATTGCCTCTGCTCTACCATCTGTAGTTTAAAGACCTCCCAACTTTCTTCATCTTGATGATTCAATGCTTTAAACATTAACTTTAACTTAAGATGAAACTCTAATTTGTAATTAAATAGTTCTTTTCTTACCTGCCTGAAAATATACATATGAAAGTATGTATGTATGTATGTATGTATGTATGCATGAATGCTTGCATGTACATTTTACCAGTGCCTGAGGTCAAATTCAGAGACTTATATGTGCCAATACCACTGATTCATACCCATGCCCACAGACTATATTTTATGTCATTATTTTTATCACACTGTAATTAATTAACTGCTTTTTCCTAGGTATCACATATATTTTATCAACTTGCTCTCCATATTTTGTCCACAGCAAACTTTATAAACCTGTAACTTTTCCATGAACTCTTTGTGGGATGTCTGTGTCTGCCCCTCTTTGCTCAGGCCAATTCCAACCCTGATTTCCCTGTTGTGCAGTACTAAGTTGTTGGTACACCCCTGTAGTTAGCCTTTCTTTCTCATTACTTTACTCTTCCTGGAATGGTCTTCTCACTATGCATCAGATTTCTAGTTAGCTACTATAAGTCAGCTCAGAATGTCTCTCTTCAAAAAGCCCCAAAAGAATGCATGTTGAGTCAAAAGTCACTTTTTAATGTGTATATCTGGACATATCTTTGTCTTATAATGACCACTGTAGCTTTATGCTTATTTCTTCTTCACCCCTCTCACTAAAACAGACACATTTTTAATCAGAAAGTGTGCTTCTTGTCTCTATATCACAAGTATTTACCTCATGCAAATGTATGTCTAGCCATAAAGCATACTGTTGAGTAGAAACATTAAAAATATTTAAAATTTTAAAAATATTTCTTCATGTTGCCACAGGAATATGGCAGACTGAAGGAGATGACAGTCATACCATTTTAAGAATAACAAAACCCCACTGCATGGGCCTAAGCCTTGAAATCATTCAGTGATACAGAACCCTTCCCTTGCTTGGCTTTTAGTGGCTCTTATGATCCTGGTGCAATGGTAGGCCTTAGGGGCAAGTAGTATACACAAGACCTAGTCATTTGCTGTCCCAGAAGCAGACAATTCAACTGGGGAGACAGATAGTCCTTAAAAATTTACACATAAAACCCTATAGTAACAATTAACCCTAAGTTTTCTAAGGAAAGTACATAGAGACATGAGAAAATCTGATGCAATCTAGTGCTGGGAGTGGGGTGCTTGGGTGGTGACAAAGAAGGTATCAAGGTAGGTTCCAGAGTCAACGTATCATTTTACTAAGGTCTAACTTGAAAGTAAACAAGAGTCATTTATCATTAAAATTTTTTTGATATAGCACATATGACAGAACATGTCAGGTTATATTAAGTGGCAGAAAAACATTAAAGAGGTGCATATACCAGCACAAACAATATATATGTGCTAACTCGTGCCCTTGATTTAAGCAAGGTCATTCCTCCTCCCCCAGTGAATCAACTTTCATCCAGTGGATGAAGGTGGGAACCAATGAAGTATGCTCTGAAGTATGTGATAGCCTAACATCTCCTAGAATGACATTGGAATTTTCAACCTTTGGGGGCTCTGATAGTTTTTGGAAAGAACAAACCTGTGAACAAAAGATAAGGTCAAGGGATTGTTTCCAATACCCCTAGCATATGGTCTAACTCTTTACAGCTTAACACTCATCAGCATGCAAAGATTCTGGTACCTCTACTTTGGCAGTATCTTCCATCTTAATTAACTACTGCTGCTATCCTCAGTTTTTCTCCACTTGGTAAACTTAGTCTTCCTTACAATCTAGTTCAGTGATGCTCCTCTGTGAAAGTTTGCTTTGAACTCAAAGCCAAACTCATGGTCCCTTCTTTAAGGTTCCAGGTAAGCTTATTACACGGTAAATCTAAATATCCCAGGGAGGTTGACATGGCTGCATGTCTTTATGCCTTTGTTTTGTGCCTGACAATAGAATATCATCCTTTTATCCCTGCATTGTTCAAAGGGCTCCCTTTTTCCTTCTATATTTTGGGTAATGATTCAAGATTGCATTTAGGCAAAGAATGATTTAGAAATGATGGCAAACCAGTTACTGGTCTAAATGTGAAGATACTTTGTGTGTTTTAGCTTATTTTGTTGTACATTCATTTTCTTCCATGAGGAACCCATGCTGAGCTAGCTAATGGGGAGGGTAACAGAGAAATGAAAAGGACTGCCTTAACCATGCTTAGATCACACCCCTAGACTGTCCTATATCAGTCAGGATCAGGACGATGAGAATCTGGTTGAGAGTAGAACCATCTACCAGAGCTCAGACAAAACAATCTTCCCGTGAGCCAAATAAGTGACCATTGAAATCAACAACTGAAATCTGTTGATAGTTTGTAGCTGAGCAATTATTAATTCACACACAATACAAGTAAATTAGTCCAAATACATTTTTTCATTAACTAAGAAAAGAATAGCAAATCCTTATTTCTTACAGTAAATATGCACATATGAATACTAGCCAGAGAACGTTGTTTGGAAGAAAACGGCTGAACAGGAGGCAGAAAATTTTATGGATACAGATTTCTCTGAAAACCCATTCTATATATAGCTTATTAAAATGCGATCAGGATGTCTCTCTCCCCACTTCTCTCTCTGTGTCTCTGTCTCTGTCTCTCTCTGTCTCTCTGTCTCTCTGTCTCTCTCTCTCTCTCTCTGTCTCTCTCTGTCTCTCTCTGTCTTTCTCCCTCTCCCTTCTCTCTCTCTCTCTCTCTCTCTCTCTCTCTCTCTCTCTCTCTCTCT